CCACTGTGTTCTGGGCAGCACATTGGTCACTCTGCATACTTGGTTCTACCTAATCCCCAAATAACCCCACATGGATTGGTATTTCTTTTCCCATTTGGCATGCATAATAGCAAACTCACTCATGGAGGTTAGTTTGACCAGAATAATCTAGCCTACAGGTGGGGAGCTGGGCTCACCTCCAGGCCTTTTTAGTCCAAAGATTCCTATTATAACACCCTGGGAACTCACATGGGGATTCTGCCAAGTGTAGTATGTCCACTTTGTGTATACATTCTCAATCTGGGTAAATCCACGGGGTGGGTTCTGGGTCCCAGTGATCTTACTGTGACATGATCCTCAGTTAAAAATCCATTTGCCACTTGACTCCATAAGCTTTTACTCTGGTAAACAACAGCAGTATCTTGAACCAGTGTCAATTCAGAGTCAGAGCCCAGTAACTCCTGCCCTAGGCTGATCAGCCTCAGACTACCAGGAACAAGCCTGTACTCCAATCAGGGTCATGGACCCATTACCACGAGAGTGACAAGCATGAGATCTGTGGGGTGTCCCACTAAACAAAGGAAAGCAGAATTATTACAAGACTTCTGGGAAGGGTGGATTTTAGGTGAAATCTATATGGAGCAATGCTTAGATGGGTGGGCAGCAAAGCTGGGCTGTGAGTAGTGGATCAACATGAGATCTGGACTGAGAAGTGGACCCAGCTTCCTATTTCCTTGGAAACGGCAAAATTTAGATGTGGAATGCGGTGTCCAAGACTCCTTATCTGGTTCTAGTTGTAAATCAAGGCTGCTTCTCTGTATCAAAGTGACATATCTGCCAGGAAAGAGTGGGTATTTCATTCTTGATAATTTATAACACATTCCTGTCAGTCTGTGATACTGGAGAACAAAGTTTCTCAGTTAGAAAGCAGAGGTAAAATGTCATGACATTTTACAGCTGCACATCTTTTTTGGGAAAGTACTGTCTCCTAACTTTGAAGCTGGTTTTATCCCCGTGATTCCAGCCCAGTGAATAGTTTAATAGATTTTTTTCCTTTCCCAGTCCAAGCCAATTTTTACTTTCTTATCTCTATAGGTGTGGGTATTTCCTTTCTTTCAACGTGGTTACCCCATAATTGGCCACATTCCCTTTGGGGAAGGAAATAAGATATAGTATAAAATTGGGGGACAGCATCAGCATCTTTCCTCAAGGAAATCTGGCCTTTTCTCCTTTCATGAGGTTCAGGTCTTTTCACCAAATTTAATGTTTTTTCACTTATACTGATAGAGACTTCAGTAGGCTATCTATTTCAGTCTCAGAGACACCATCACCGTTATCCAGGGTAACTCTTGTGATTACTGCTCTGGCCCTGGGCCTGTTAAGGTGACACACTTCCAGGTCTTTGAAAGGGTTATGAGCTATTGTCTGGTATTCAACCAACCCCAGTGAGTTATTGAACCCATTTTCATGACAGCCCTCCCAATGCCATTCCTAGCCTATAGAAAGTAGCCACTGGAGCATCTCCCACGGAGGTTGGTGCACCCTTGCCAATGCATTTCTCAAGCCTGGGTGACCCTCCTGGGGTGGGGGAAAGTAGGCTGGGGCAGGTGAACAGGGCATCGGTCAGCACTGCCAGTCACTACAGAATGAATCTCTCTTCCATAAAGCTTCCTTCCATCTACTGAAGAAACAGAAATGTCTTTCTCTTCTCAACTGTAACTAGTTTACTTGGTTTAGAAGCTGGGGGTGCTAAGTGGATGACTGCTCTGTGCTAATCAGTAAGTGTAGCACAGAGAGGGTCTGCACCATTAGGGGAGAGTCTGGCTCCCAACTAGTATTAATGTCATCTCCAAGCTAAGGAAGAAATTGGGTAACAGAGAAACTTATGACTGGAATCGAGGAGAACATTAACAACTATGGAAATAAAATTGAATACAATTTGGATGAAGTACTTAATTGAAAACTAAAACAATGAAAAACTCATCACAGGAATTAGAAGGATGTTTTAGCCACATAAGCTGAAATAGAGGATTAGGATAAAGGTTGGGATTCTTAGTTAAGTAAAAACACCTTCCCTGTATGTAAAGATGGAATTAAAAAGGAAAACCCCAAATATTTTTTCCTGATTTGGCATTCTAAGATTGCATGTGGTCTTGAGGAAGACACTGCCATGGCTTCCTAGTCCTTCTGTCTCCTAAAAGAACGCCAGAGATCCTTGGAGCAAAAACAGTTAATTTCCTTTCCTTCTTTTTTTTTTTTTTTAATAATTTTTTTATTGTTATGGTAACCACCATACATTACATCATTAGTTTTTGATGCAGTGTTCCATGATTCATTGTTTGTGCATAACACCCAGTGCTCCACGCAGAATGTGCCCTCTTTAATACCCATCACCACGCTAACCCATCCCCCCACCCCCCTCCCCTCTAGAACCCTCAGTTTGTTTTTCAGAGTCCATCATCTCTAATGGTTCGTCTCCTTTCCTTCCTTCTTAAAGGTCCCTTCTCTAGCAGAAGTTGTAACTGGATAAAAAGCTCCAACGCCCTGAGAAGCCAGGAAAGCCAGGTAAGGAGTTTCTGACACAACTCCAGGAAACAAGTTTCCAGTCACCTCAGGAAAAGACAGACATTCCCTCTCTTTTATGTGGAACATGCTGTTGGGCAATGATTAGTGAAGCCATAAGCCAGAGGCTCCTACCTTTGGACTGTTTTCTCATTTTCCTTCATTGGTAAAACACCTAAAAGACCCACATACCAAACCACATTTAAGAAAAGTGTACCAAGGGCGCCTGGGTGGCTCAGTTGGTTAAGCGACTGCCTTCAGCTCAGGTCATGATCCTGGAGTCCCCGGATCGAGTCCCGCCTCAGGCTCCCCGCTCAGCAGGGAGTCGGCTTCTCCCTCTGACCCGCCCCCCTCTCATGTGCTCTCTCTCTCATTCTCTCTCTCAAATAAATGAGTAAAATCTTTTTTTTATTTTTTTTAAAGATTTTATTTATTTATTTGAGAGAGAGAGAATGAGAGAGAGCACGAGAGGGAAGAGGGTCAGAGGGAGAAGCAGACTCCCTGCTGAGCAGGGAGCCCGATGCGGGACTCGATCCCAGGACTCCAGGATCATGACCTGAGCTGAAGGCAGTCGCTTAACCAACTGAGCCACCCAGGCGCCCGTAAAATCTTTAAAAAAAAAAAAAAGAAAGAAAAGTGTACCATTTCCGATTTGGAATCAGTCAGATGGTCCAGCCTAGGGGTTGCAAGCTCCCTGCCAGCACTGCCTTCATTCTTGGGGTGCTGGGGTGCAGCAGGACTCAGGAGGTACCAAGAACCTGGGCAGTAGAGCCACACAGAGCCAGCACTGCCACTGAGCAGCTTCTCTGTGTCTCAGTCCCACTGTGAAACAGGGTAAGTAAAAGTACCTACTTCACTGAAATGCCGTGAAGGTTAAATGAGAAAACCCAGGCAAAGCCTTTATCATAATGCCTGGTATATGCTAAGGTAAAAAAAGTGAAGGTTTATTGACTTAATCAGAATATTTGTTCAGCATATAACCATTATTATCACAGTAAATTCACTCCAGTTTTTATTTTACTATTTTAAGTCAAAGCTATTTGTGGTGAAATGTGCTTAGGAGGATTATCATGAAGAGGTAGATTTTCCAATCAGCTTTTCAGCATTCTAAGATAAGCCAAGACCACTACCACTACTATATGGACAACAGCCTGGAAAATAAGACCTGAAGTATAGGTCAAGTCAACGTAAGGAGAAAAAATCAGTCAAATTCTAAGAAAGTCCCTTTGATAAACAGGAAAACTGGAATAATTCTATTAGTGAAAAGGACACTATAAAATGGAATAAAATGGCCAATTATTAAGTAATTCATTACTCTTACCTTTTCTTCTTTGTTACCCTGATTCGTATATACAAAGCATCACTCCATTATAGTTTGTCCCAAATATTAACTGGCCAATCTCTTCTGAAATGATTGTATATATCATATCCAGCTTGTTCATCAAAGACCTAAACTACTTTCAGTTGTCAGATTTCAGCATCTAGAACTCTCACAGACTGCTGTTGCTGAATTTCTCATACGTACAACCTATTTCAGCTCATTTTGATGCTAATCTTTCCTCCACAAAAGAATTAGGAGAAAGTGCTAAAGAAGTTTCTGGAGAATGGTGTTCAGAGGATACTGAAGTGAGCCACTCATGACTGAATCAGCGGCAGAAGAACCACAGACAAGGGTGGCAACTCTGAAAACCGGGTTTGGGAAAAGAGCTCCCAGGATATATTTCATCTCAAACATCATGAACCAAAGGACACTGAGACACTGCTGACCAACATCACTCCAGGGGACAAAAGGCACCTTTAAAGCACAAAGACAAGAGTGCATGGGTTGACAAAACAACCTGCACGATTATCTCCTAAAAGCTGCTCAATGGCCCTGCCTCACCAGGAGTCCTCACCTGGAGTCCTGTCCTCTGGCAGCAGCAGGACCTGCCACTCCTCACCAGTCTGTTCAGTGCCAGCTGCCCAGTGAAAGGGAACAGCTATGACTGCTCCCCTTCTCTCCCTGAAAAACATGTGGAATACACCAATCTTGGTTTTGAGAACAAAATCTGTAAGTCATATCCCATGCCACAGTGTGTCTATTTTATGCTTATTTTCCTCCCAATTCACAGGGGTTTGACTTTCCAAATTACCTTTTAGAAAAACTCATTTTACATGTGTCATCTGACTTAGCAGGATCTCAAGTCTGAATCTACACACACACCTCACCTCATTCCTTAACAAATTTTGCTCCTGTTTGGATTATCTGATGCTAAAAAGGGAGAACAGTTTTGAAGTTAAAGGGGCCACATCCCTCACAATAAACCCTTTTGAAGAGGCCCAAACAAACCAACAAGGAAATTTCAACCTGGCTCTTTCTGGCTTTAAAGTGCAAGGGTTCCAGTTACTTTCCCTGAACCTGAAATAGATGATGATGAGGAAGGAAAAGCAAATGGCCGCATGAAATACCTCACTGCACCTTAAGGTCTGGGGCTATGAAAACACAATCTTAAGTGTAATTAAATTGTGTTCATTTCAAGTACTTAAGTACAGGGCCACCCTCTGAATCAGGAAAGGCATGTGACCTTGGAATTTTTACCACATAATTTGGCAGCCTGCCCTCAGTTAACAGTGCACTGGGAGATTGTTAAATCACTAGAGATGAATCTCCAAAATGAAAGTTGTAAAAGCGACGGCTTTCCCATCAGTATACTGCTCCTGATGTAACAACGGTGAAGACTTTATCGAATAAAGCAGTTATTCTCCACTGTGAACTTTATGGTGCTGAATGAATGCTGCCTGTGCACTAAAGAGGGCCCCACATTTAATACACTTATAGGCTTGCGCTCCAGTGTGAATTTTCTCATGACTGGTAAGAGTTATTCTCTGACTAAAAGTTTTCCCACATTCATTACACACATAAGGTCGCTCTCCACTGTGAACTCTCTGATGTCGAATAAGGTGAGAGCTTTGTCTGAAGGACTTTCCACATTCAGTGCATTTGTAAGGTTTCTCTCCTGTGTGAATTCTCTTGTGTTGGATAAGGGATAAACGTGCACTGAAGGCTTTCTCACATTCATTGCATATGTAGGGTTTCTCTCCAGTGTGAATCCTCTGATGCTGCATAAATTGTGAATGCTGACTGAAGGCCTTGCCACACTCCTCACATTCATAAGGCTTCTCCCCCGTATGAGTTCTGTGATGCTGGACGAGAGAGGAGCGGACGTTGAAGGCCTTCCCACAGTCACTGCACTCGTAGGGATTCTCTCCAGTGTGAATCCTTCGATGGCGGACGAGGTGTGCGCTCTGGCTGAAGGCTTTCCCACAGTCACCACACTCATAGGGTTTCTCTCCATTGTGTGTTCTCTCATGCTTAATTAGGGTGGATATCTGCCCAAAGGTTTTCCCACACTTGTTACACTCATAGGGTTTCTCTCCAGTGTGGCTCCTCTGATGCTGAATGAGGTGTGAGCCCTGGCTAAAGGCCTTCCCACATTTGTGACACTCATAGGGCTTCTCACCATTATGGACTCTCTGATGTTGAACAAGGGAAGAGAGCACACTGAAAGCTTTATCACACTCATTACATTCATAGGGCTTCTCACCACTGTGTGTCCTTTGATGATGAATAAGATTAAAACTCTGGCTGAAGGCTTTTCCACACTCATTACACTCATAGGGTTTCTCTCCAGTGTGAATTCGCTGATGCTGAATCAGATGTCCCTTTTGGCTGAAGGTTTTCCCACACTCACTGCATCCATAAGGTTTTTCTCCGGTGTGAATTCTCTGATGCTGGATGAGGGACAGGCGAGCACTGAATGATTTTCCACACTCATTGCAAATGTAAGGCTTCTCTCCAGTATGAATTCTCTTGTGCTGAATGACTTGGGAGTGCTGACTGAAGGATTTTCCGCATTCATTACACCTATAAGGTTTCTCTCCAGTGTGAATTCTCTGATGAACAGTAAGCGTTCGGTTCAGGCTAAAGGATTTCCCACATTCATTGCATTCATAGGGTTTTTCTCCTGTGTGAGTTCTCTGATGTTGAATGAGAGATAATCCTGCACTGAAGGCTTTGCCGCACTCAGTACAGTTATAAGGTTTCTCTCCAGAATGAGTTCTCTCATGCTGAAAGAGGTGTGAGTGTCTACTGAAAGCCTTCCCACATTCCTTACACTTGTATGGTTTCTCTCCAATATGAATTCTCTGACGATGAATCAGGTTAGAGCTATTACTAAAGGCTTTCCCACACTGATTACACTCATGACGTTTCTGCCCCATATGAATTTTAAGATGTTGACTGTAAGATGAACATGCACTGAAAGGTTTCCCACATTCACTGCATTCATAAGGTCTTTCTCCAGTGTAAGTGTTATGGAGCTGAATGAAATAGGAATGAGCCCTGAAAGATTTGCCACACTCAGCACAAGTGTGGGGCTTCTCTCCACAGTGAACTCTCTGATGTTGGCTGAGGACAGAGCAGTGGCGGGAAATTTTTCCACATCTACTACACTCACAGGGCTTCTCTCCAGCGTGACTTCTCTGATGCCGAGAAAGTGCTGTATTCAGGCTGAAAGGTATTCCACACTCAGTACGCTCAAAGGATTTCTCTGGATTGTTAACCCTCTGATTCTCACTAAGAACTGAACTCTGCCTGGGCACTTTCATAAACACATCTGTCTGACAGGCTATTTCTCCTAGATGGAAACACTGGAGATTAATGAGGTCCTGACTTTGTTGAAAGTCATCCATACATGGCACATTCTGGTGGAGACTCTCCCCTCTAGATGCTCTATGAAATCCAAAAGAGTTTGGGTCTGCAGTGCAGTTTACCTCCACAGAACTGGATTTCTGGCCTTCCCCTCCAATAGGGGTTTTCCTACATGTCAATGTCACTGGCCTGGAATTGTTCTTCTGGGAGAAGGATTTCGTAAGTCTTTCCTCCACAGATTTTCTCCAGCAGTTCTTTAACTTTCCCTCAGTTTTACTCATCTCTTGAAAATCAGGTTCTTTGGAAATATTCCTTACATGTTCTTCTGATTTTGCTCTCTGGGATCCCACTGCTTTGGAAATTTCCTGTTTTGGAGTCAATCCCTTCTTTCCCGTCTGAGACTCAAAACCTGAAAGAATGAAGAAAAATTAGTTACTCGTATTTTACTGTGGGAGAAAGAATTAGAGAATAAATAGGAACATTTATATGAAACAACTATCTCGTAGGAGAACAGTGAATTTTCAGAATGTAAAACCAAAAAACAACCTCACTAGGATGAGAAGAGGAAAGAGGGGAAGAGAAGCTATCAGAGCAAGGAAGGCTGGTGTGGGAAAGACATAAGTAAGGAGAGAAGCCCAAGGTCTAGGCTTATATCTGGGCTAACTAGGCACGGACAGAGCAGGAACACTGAGGCATGACTTGAGGGAAAAAGAGCTCTCAGAAAGGTGATGAGGGTGATGATGAAGACTGCTGATCATGTCACTGCTCATACTTTGTAAACAAGGTATCTTCTTCTAGCTTACTTATAATAGGTATTCAAATATTTGTTTAAAAACGAATGAGGGGCGCTTGGGTGGCTCGGTCGGTTAAGTGTCTGACTCTTGATTTCGACTCAGGTCATGATCTTGGGGTTATGAGATCAAGCCCTGCATTGAGCTCTATGCTCAGCAGGGAGTCTGTCTCTGCCTCTGCCCCAACCCCCTTAAATAAATGAATAAATCTTAAAAAAAAATAAATGAATGGTAAATGACTTATAATGAATAAAGGGTATACAGATTAATGGATACTGGAACAAATGATTTGATCTGGACAACTTGGCTTCACAGAAGTAAATCAGGGTGAATAGAGAATAGATACAAAGAAGCAACCTACTCATCCAAATAGCAGGTACAGCACAAGACAGAAAAGCTAAATGTGTGCAATAATCCACACCACACATTCCCAATGAATAAAAATACCTGAATATTGGTAAAAACTGTGATACAGATGAATTCTGAAATCCAATGAAAGGAAATCTACCAAAAACAAAACGAAACAAAACCCCAAACAAAACCACTGAATCATGTGGACACAAGGACTGTTGGAAGGACAACCAGGTCAGAGCTGTGAGAGGGGAGCCCTGTTGTGAGATGCCATAGAAGCACAATGGAACCTCTTTTTTGTAAACTGCTTACTATTAGAGCTGTAACAGGCTGTTATTTTCAGACTGTTTAGCCAGACAAGGAAACAGCTGAAAATGTTGATTAGATGAGATCTAAAATTAGGCTAAGTCATTTTAACAGACTTCAGTGACCTACTCACAGTACTTCAAAGGGATTTACTTTACTATTTTTTACTATTTTTGACAAAGGCACAAAGGCAATACAATACGAGAAAGGATTTTTTTTTTTTTTTTAAGATTTTATTTATTTGAGAGAGAGAGAATGAGAGATAGAGAGCACGAGGGGGAAGAGGGTCAGAGGGAGAAGCAGACTCCCCGCCGAGCAGGGAGCCCGATGTGGGACTCGATCCCGGGACTGCAGGATCATGACCTGAGCCGAAGGCAGTCGCCCAACCAACTGAGCCACCCAGGCGCCCCCCGAGAAAGGATTTTTTTTCAACAAATGGTGCTGGAACAACTGGACATCCACTTGTAAAAATTTTAACGTGGTTCCCTAACTCATACCAGACATAAAAATTAACTCAATAGGATCACAGACCCAAGTACCTAAAATTTCTAAGTTACAAAATTTTCCTCTGTAAGAAGAAAATCTTTTGAATTAAGCAAAGTTTTCTTAGATATGACACCAAAAGCACAATCCATAAAAGAACTGATGAACTGGACTTTATCAAAATTTAATAAAACTTCTACTCTTCAAAAGACACTGGTAAGAAAATAAAATGACAAGGCACAGTGAGAGAAAATCTATGCAAAGCATATATCTGATAAAGGGCCTGTATCTAGAACACTCCTATGTTCAGAAAGCAACTCTTTAAAACTTAAGAGAACAAAAACTGAGTTAAAAAATAAGCAAGATATGAACAGACACTTCACCACTGAAAATATACAGAAGGAAAACAAGATACTCAAAATGTTTAACTATTAGAGAAATTAAAAGTAAAAGTAAAACCACAATGAGACACCACTACACATTTATCAGAACAGCTAAAATGAAAAAGACTGAGCACACCAAGTGTTGATGAGGATGTGGAGAAAACGGAACTCTCACCCACTGCTGGTGGGAATGTCAAATTGTGCAACCAGTTTGGAAAACATTCTGGCAGTTTCCTAAAAGTTAAATATACACCTACCATGTAATCCGGTCATGCTATTACTAGGTATTTATCCAAGAGAAAAAGAATGCATGGTCATACAAGGATCTATACACAAATGTTCATAGCAGCTTTATTTGTATTAAACCCAAATTGGAAACAACCCAAATGTCTGTCAACAGAATTGAAAAACAAATTGTGGCAAATCCATACAAATAGAATACTAACCAAAATGAAAAAACGAGTTGATAGATAAAGTAGATGAATATCAAAAGAATTATGTGCAGTCAAAAGACGTCAGACAAAAAAAAAAAAGGGTACATGCTCTATGATTCCATTAATATAAAATTCTAGAAAATGTAATTCATATTGACAGCAGGTAGATCAGTAACTGCTTCATGGTAGAAATGGGAAGGGGTAAGAGGGAGGAATTACAAAGAGACAGCAGAAAACTTTTGGGAGTAATGGATATGTTTGCTATCTTGACTAGTGAATAGTTTCACACATACATACATAATGCAGAAATGTTACCAAATTGCACATGTTAAATATGCATGGCATATTATACACTTAATATACCTTAATAAAGCTGTTTCTAAGAAGGGAAAAAGAACACATGGGGTGTGGAGCCGGCATGCCAGAGTCCAACCCAGCTCTGTTCCTGACCGGTTGTGTGATCTCAGGCCAGCAACCAAATCTCTCTGTGCCTCACAGTTTCTTGGGTACCGACTCTGCGAGGATATTAGAGGACTGCATAAGTTCATCCTGTCAGCAAAGTGCTAGGCATGCACTGAGCACAAATGTCCGGGCATCGTTAGCTGCTGTGGCAGCTGAGGACTCTGCTCCACTTACTGTTTCCTATTTACATGCCCATATCCTTTGCTACACAGGAAGAAACCCCAGGTCATGTTTTTTCCCAAGGCCCTGAATCAGCCTGGGAACTCTGAGTGAGCAATAGCAGGAGTGAGTCTGGGCAGAGGGCATGTCTCTGGATGGTCTTTCTAAGCAGCCAAGGCAGAGCTGGCCAGCAAGGCCTGAGAAGGATGGGTGACACAGAAGCAACTGGGAGGCAGCGAGGGCAGGGAGCCAGCTGCCCTAGAGAGATACCCGAGCTCTTTCCCGGGATTGAAAGAGCATTTTATAGGGTGAGGGAAACATGAACTCATTTATGGGTATAGAATAGTGGTGTTAACAGAAAGAAAAGAGAGGTAGAAATGGAGAAGAGGGAGAGCAAAGCTCTGGAGTGATAAAAGATGTGGTCCAGAACTCATAGAAAAGGGCCTGGTAAAGTGGCAGCACCTGCCAGCATGGGCAGGAGAGCACAACAGCATTCCTGGAGACTCGGAGACTCACTTTCACTCCTGTGACTCCGGATCCAGCCCTCCTCAATTCTCGGTGAGTATGGGGCCCATGGCTCTTCCCCCTTCTCCAGCCTGGAGATGACATCAGGTTTGGAATCTTGAAGTCCTGCTCCAGAGAAAGGAAGCAAGGTTGACAATTCATCCAAGTCCAGGGCAGAATGGCCCCATGGGCAGCACCTGTGTCCCATTCATGACCTCCCCTGCCACCTGTCTGTAAACCAAGGAGACAGATGCAGGCCTCTTCCCTAGCTGAAGAAAAGTTAAACCCAGCTCTTCTGGGGGCCAAGGATAAGGGACAGAGTTGGTGCCTGAACATCACGCTAGAAGACTCAGAGTCTTGGTGTTGACGTCCACAAGGACTAAAGGGAAGCAGCATATTCTGGTGTAAGGCAGGGCTTGAAACCAAATGGATTCAAATCCTAGATCTGCTCCTGACTGCCTGTGTGAACTTAAGAAAGTAGTGGTATCTATCAGCCTCAGATTCAACTATAAACCATTTAACCCAACACCAACCTTGAAGATGCATTACAATTAACTTGGGATGTGAATATACTTAGGGTTCAATGAATGATATTCTTCTTCCATATTTCCTACAAGGAAATTGGGGGAGTCTGTGGCGCTGCCTGTCCTCTCCTCTGTGCAGACCAGGCTTTCCTGGGACCTGGGTCAGAAATGCTTTGTGTTTGGGCCCGGAGGGTGAGATGCCCCTGAGCCTTAAGCCTAACTCTAGTCCTGTTCACGAGCAAGAAAACCAGAGCTGAACTTCAGAAAGAGTCTTACCCAGTGAGATCAGGTTTCTGTAGGTCTCCAGCATCACATTACTGTAGAGGCCCCTCTGAGCAGGGCCCAGACAGCCCCACTCCTCCTGGGAGAGGAACACAGCCACGTCCTCAAAGGAAACTAAGACCTGGAACGACAATATCTTGTTGCAACCCCAGGGTCAGGCCCAGGGTGGCTCATGATGGGCAAAACCCCTTTGAATGCATGTACCAGCCTGCTGTCCTCACAAGAGTGGGCTCTTTGAGACCAGCACCATTTTGACTTGTCTCTGTCTGCCCAACCCCTGCCCTCTACTATGCCTAGTGCAGGGATTGGGAAGACATTGTGCAGCATATTTCAGGGACTTGAACTCAGGGACAGAGGACATTGGTGAAGACAGGGAGCCATCTACCCTCTGGGACCAGCCCCCCATAGACAGAACCGTGGAGAGCCTCTAGCCAAGAAAAGGCTAAGTCTACAGAGATATCTCCATGAGGACCACTCACCTGGGGCCCAGCAGGAAGGAGCTGCTTGACAGCCATCATTGGATCTCTTAGCTTGCCCCAAGGAGGTGGGCAAAACTGCAGAGAGAGGGAAGACTGTAATGGAGTGTGACCAGCCTGCTTTTCACAGCAACACTGAGACTTCTGTGCCTGGATCTCAAGAGGTCTATGGCAACAGAGACCAAGTTTGGGGCTGCCAGGAAGCCCTGGGAAGGGCAGATGGACTAAACACCCAGTGGTCTCTGAGACCATATCCCCTTGTCCACCATGAGGCTTCCTCAGCAGGCCCTGGTACAAACAGCATCCTAAGGCCACCACATGATGGCCCCAGCAGTGCACCTGGCCAGGGTATACAATAGGCTGCATCTCAGGTCCACCTTGGAGGTCCTGGAGAGTGGGCACACAGCTGAGGACAAGCAATCCAGGCTCCTACTCTAAGATGGTGCACAAACAAGTAGGGAGGTTGACAGACAAAATGCCTGTGTCAGGTGATGCTAAGGGACAGAAAGAACAAACAGCATGAGGGCAGCAGCTGGCGGTAGGAGATATTTTACACAGGCTGTCCAGAGAAGGCAACTTTGATAAAGCAACACCAAAGCAGAGGTCTAGATGGAGTAAGGGCAGACGCTGTGTGGATATTAGGGGAGATACATCCTAGGAAGGGGCATGCAAAAGTGCAAAGGTTGTGAAGTGACGGCCCACTTGGTGTGTTCAAGTTAAGGGCAAGGAGGCCAGAGGGTGGAGTAGGGGAGGGCAAGAGAGAGGAGGGTGGGGTGCCTCATAGGCTATAGGACTTGGGCTTTTACTCTGAGTTGGGAAGCATCTGGAACATCTGGGCAGTGATATGACCTGCCATGTGGCCTCTCCAGCTGCTGCTTTGAGAACAGACTGGGGGTGGGAGTGGGGAGTGTCAGGATTTAACAGGAAAACCAGGTGGAAGGCTCTAGCAATAATCCACTAGAGATGACAGTATCTTGGACCAGAGTGGTGGGAGCAGGTGATAAGTGATCAGATTCTAGATGCACTTCAAAGGTATCGTCAACAGGATTTGCTGAGGAATTAGGTCTGGGATGAGACACCAAGATTTTTGTGCCAAGCTACTGAGATGATGAAACTTCCATTCACTCTGAAGGATAAGACTTACATCTGAAGGGTAAAAATTAAAAGCTGTTTTTGTACATGTTGTATTAAGGATGCCCATTAGATTTACAAGTGGAGAATCAGAGCTTTTGGATATATAGGTCCAAAATTCAAGAGAAAGGCTGAAGCTGGCTGGGTGTATCGGGAACTAGCAGTATACTTATGACATTTAGAACCACCCATCCGGTTTTACTTTAGGCTGACAACTGACATGAGGGCTATCCCTCCCAGGAAAACCTTCCCAAACAGCCTCTGATACAAAGGCAACTCCCACCTCCACAGCCCCTGACCCCAGGCAAACGAAACGTGGATCACAAGTGGACCTGCATTCTGCCTTTGCTTCCAGACTGACCGGGAGGCATGTACCACTGCTGCTGGAAGCGTGGGCTGAATCCCAGTCTTGAACACACCACCTGCTGGTGCAAATGCCTCAGGGAAGTGACTTGAGTCTCTACACGGACTTAAAATGAGACTTATCCTAAGTGACTATTTTGAGAATTTAATGAAGAAAACGTATAAGGTACTTTGTATAGTGTTGGCAAACCACAAACAGGAGACTGTAAGTAAACCTTAATTACTACCATTCAGGCAATGCTTCCTGAGCACCCACCGAATGAATGAAAGTGATCTCCAGCCCGTCCGCTTTCAGCCCCAGCAACCGAGGCCCCTTCCCAGACAGCGTTCACAACTCCATCCTTTCCCCTCCTCTGCGCCCGCTGCGTGCAGGGCACTTTCCTTTCCGAGGAAAGCACGATCTGATTCATCCCCTGACCAAGCCCCAACTGCGCCCCCTCGCTGATACCTTCCCCATCCGCGCTGCCGCCCCGCCTCCGCGGCCTGGGGAGCCCGGACCCCCACCCCGCGAGCTTTGCGCGGGGGGCCTCCGCCGCTCCCCCGCCCGCCTCTCACCCCACGCGCCCGCGCTCCACACTCCACGCCGCCTCCGCGCGCTCTCGGGGCCCCTGCCCGCGCTCCCCGGGGCCGTTCCGACGCCTCCGCGCCCACCACACCAGTTGCGACTCACTCGCCGCGGGCTCGGGCGGAGGTGCGGCTCTCAGACGCCAGACCGCCGGAGCCCGAGCGCCCGGACAGGAAGTGCCCGCCCTGAACTTCCGCCGCTCCCTCCAGCTCGCCACCAATCAGATGCCCGTTTCTGGCGGCCGCTCTAGCCGCTCAGAAGATTCTGTGCTACTGGCAAGTTCCTGGGTCCTGGTCCCCACTCAGGTGCCTGGTGAGAAATGTTAGAAGTTCTTGAGAGAGTGGTAACTATTATCAGTAGGAAACGCCTAAAGACAGGAAAAGGGGCAGAGAAGGAATAAATGAAGGTGAAACAAAATACTTTATTTTTCTTACTCCTAATTAAAAGATTATTGTTTTACAAAGTAATAATAGCAATAGTATATTGGGTAATTATAGCACATGGATGAGTAAAATGAATGACAGCAGTGTCATAACGGATGGGAGGGAGGAACTGGGAATACTTGGCTATAACTACCTATGCTACCTATGAAGCCGTATAGTGTTACTTGAAAGCGGACTCAGATTAATTGTAAATATATATTGCAACCATGAAAATATCAAAGAAGTATAAATAATATGCTAAATAGGAGAAAAATTGGAATTAAATAAAATGCTCAGTTAAACCAGAGAAGGCAGAAACAGAGGGAAAGATTTTGTTTATTTATTTTTTTAAGTAAACTTCATGCCCAATGTGGGCTTGGACTCACCACCCTGAGATCAAGAGTCAACATGCTCTCCCGAATGAACCAGCCAGGCACCCTGGGAAATATTTTTTTTTTTTTAAGAAACAAATGCAATGAATAAAAAACAGTTACAAACATGGTATATATTAATCCACACTCTTCTCAAGCTCACATGGAGCTTTATCACCAAGATAAACCACATTCTGAGGCATAGAACACATCTTAGCAAATTTAAAACGATAGAAATCATACAAAATATCAAAATATGGTCTCAAACCACAATGAAATTAAGCTAGACATCAATAACAGAAAGATAGCTAATCCCAAAATATTTGTAGACTAAACAATACACATGTAAAAAATACATGGTCAAAAAAAGTCTCAAGAAAATTTTAAAAATATTTTAGAGGTTAAGCTCCAAATTATCAAAATTTGTGGATATCAACAAACAGATTCTAAAGTTTGTAAGGAAAGTCAAAAGACTCAGAATAGCCAACACAATACTGAAGAACAGCAAAATCTAAGCACTGATTCTACCCAACTTTAAAACACTCTATAAAGCTGCAGTAATCAAGACAGTGTGGTATTGGTGAAAGAAGAGACAAATAGATTAATGGAACAGAATAGAGAGCCCAGAAATAGACTCCTACAAATATGGTCAGTTGATCTTTGATAAAGGAGAAAAGGCTGTTAATGGAGACAGGATAATCTTTTTCAATATATTGTACTGGAACAATTGGACATCCACATCAAAGAAAATTTTTAGACATAGACGTTACACTTTCCACAAAAACTAATTCAGAATGGATCTTAGAGCTAACTAGGTCTTTAGTTTGTTTTTAATAACACCTAGGAAGACTCAAAGTTCTAATCAAGGTGACCTTGAAATAAAAATCAGAGGGGCTGGCTGAGACAAGATTGTAATTTAGTATCTTCTCCAGGCTGCTCCAGTATGTTCCTTGTTCTGGCATAGCATCAGTCATCTTTCCATGGAACTCTGGTTTCTTTTATTGGAGAATGGTTTTAGAAATCAAGATCTGGGTGCCAAGTATGCTCATTGACAATGAATTGTCATTGCTTCTAGGTCATCTCAGCTGACACAGCAAGGAATTACATATGTGTATACTAATCTATATACACACATATAAATATTTCTATACATATCTGTATTTATATTAAGCTAAACCTGACATTTCCAACTCTAATCCATTGCTGCATGGATCGTTCTAGTCTTTCTCCCTTGCTTGTCTGTGATCTCCCACTTCAACAGTAAGAAATCCGGCTCTTCTGTCACCCATTTAATTGTTCAATTCCAGTATATATGTACAGTGGACTCTCACTTTTTATGTATCTAATCTGTTTTTTCTGGATTTCTATCTTTTCTTACTATAGTACTTCCTCCTACAAGAGAATAAGTGATTTCAGAAAAGGCTCACTGGGCCTGAGAATTTGTTTATTGCACCATCACTTTTTTTTTTTTTTAAATACAGGCTTGAACTCACGACCCTGAGATCAAGACCTGAGCTGAGATCAAGAGTCAGATGCTTAACCAATTGAACCACCCAGGGGGCCCCCCATCACTTTTTTTTAAATAGACTTTTTAGGGGGCACCTAGGTGGCTCAGTTGGTTAAGTGACTGCCTTCGGCTCAGGTCATGATCCCAGGGTCCTGGGATTGAGCCCAGAATAGGGCTCTCTGCTCAGCAGGGAGTCTGCTTCTCCCTCTTCCTCTGTTCCTCTCCCCTGCTTGTTCTCTCACGCTCTCCCCTCCTGTCTCCCAAATAAATAAATAAAACAAACAACCCCCCCCCGCTATTTAGTTTTAAGTTTACAGCAAAATTAAGCAAAAGGTAGGGATATTTCCCATGTACCCCCTGCTCCCACATATGAACAGCCTTCCCTACTATCAGATTCCCACACTAGAGTCGAACATTTTCATTTATTTTTTATTTTTATTATTTTTTAAAGATTTTACTTATTTATTTGAGAGAGTGCGAGTGAGAGATCACAAACATGGGGAGCAGGAGAGGGAGAGGGAGAAGCAGACTCCCTGCTGATCAGGGAGCCAGATGCGGGGCTTGATCCCAGAACCCTGGGATCATGACCTGAGACAAAGGCAGCTGCTTAACTGACTGAGTCACCCAGGTGCCCCTATTTATTTATTTTTAAAATAAGTAGGCTCCATGCCCAACATGGGGCTTGAACTCACAACTGCGAGATCGAGTCACATGCTCCACCAACAGAGCCAGCCAGGCACCCCTAGAGTCAAACATTTGTACAATCTATGAAACATACATTGACACATCATTCTCACCCAAAAGTCCATAGTTTACATTAGGGTTCACTCGTGCTGTTGTACATTCTATGGGTTTTGAAAACTGTATAATGATATGTATCTACCATTAGAATGTAGTACAGAATAGTTTCACTGCCCTAAAAGATCCTCTGTGCTTCAGCTATTCATCTTGTACTATCACTTTATTTTTTAATTTTTACATTTATTTATTTTCTATTTTTTAGAGAGGGGGGAAGAGAGAGCATGTGAATGGGGTGGGGGGAGAGGCAGAGAGAGAGAGGGAGAAAGGGAATCTTAACCAGGCTCCACACTCAGCACAAGCCCAATGTAGGGCTGGATCTCACCACCTGAGATCATGACCTGAGCCAAAGTCAAGTACACTCAACTATCTGAGCCACCCAGGCATCCCTATACCATCACTTAAAATGATAGCCCAAGTTTACCCGAAATATAAAAATCTAGGTGCAAAATTATTTTCTTTCAACATTATGATTACATTATTTTATTGTTTTCTTGTTTCCAGTATCATTATTGACAAGTCTGATGTTAATTAAAATATTTTTCTTCTTTTTTTTTTAAAGATTTTATTTATTTATTTGAGACAGAATGAGAGAGAGAGAGAGAGAGCACATGAGAGGGGGGAGGGTCAGAGGGAGAAGCAGACTCCCCGCCGAGCAGGGAGCCCGATGCGGGACTCGATCCCGGGACTCCAGGATCATGACCTGAGCCGAAGGCAGTTGCTTAACCAACTCAGCCACCCAGGCGCCCCAAAATATTTTTCTTTTGTAAGGAATAATCTCCGCCTAAAAGCGTTTGAGATATCATTTTTTCTTTTTATATTCTCAAATTTCACTACAGTGTGTCTAGTGCATGTGTTTTTTCTTTCTTTCATGTTTAACACTCAAGGAGCTGTTTTAGTCTGAGGTTGCTGATCCTTTATTCCAAGTCACTTTAAAAATATTCCCATCTTCCATTTATTTTTTTCCTTTAAATGTCATTTTGATACTTGTTTTCATCTTTTGTATCGCTCAATTTTTTTTCTTTTTTAAGTAGGCTCCACACCCAACATGGAGCCCAACACAGGGCTTGAACTCACGACGCTGAGGTCAAGACCTGAGCTGAGATCAAGAGTTGTACCCTTAACTGGCTGAGCCACCCAGGTGCCCCGGCTACTAGTCTTTTGAAAGAACTTATTTCCTATAGTTGGAATCACCTGATGTTAGGGCTGTGGCCATCAAGAAGGTGGTAGAGAATACTCAGGGTTAACTAGGTTCTGGTGACTCCTAACATAACTCCACTGGACTGCATGCTGCTAGGATTGTGTTTGCGTGTATCAGCCTGCTATGGGCTGAATTGTATCTCCCCCCGCCAACCCCAGAAGTCCTAGTCCCAGTACATCAGAATATGACCTAATTTGGAAATAAGATCATTGCAGATATAATTAGTTAAGATGAGGTCACACTGAAGTAGGGTGGACTCCAATTTGATGTGCTTGTAAGAAGATAGCCATCTGAACACAGACACAGGGAGAAGATCATGGGAAGACCAAGGCTGATATTGGAGTTATACAAGCCAAGGAATGCCAAAGACTGCCAGAAACCACCAGAAATTAGGAAGAGGCAAGAAAGGATTTCCTTATAGGTTTGAGAGAGAGCATGGCCGTGTTAACAGCTTGGATCTGTACTTTTACCTTCCAGAGTTGTGAAAAAAATATATTCCTATTGCTTTAAGCCACATGGTTTGTGATACTCTGCTATGGCAGCCCCAGGTGGCCAATATATATTTTCACAGTGGTGAGGGCACAGGTAGTGATCTTCCCAAAGGCAGTGAGATGGGGGAGTTTCCCTCCATCCCCCTTCCACCAGGGCTCACTATCCCAGGGTTTCAGTTCTCTCCAAACCTTTCCTCTCCCAAGATACTTCTCACAGCCCTTACTTTTGCCCTCCAGTGCCATATACTTTTTGTTTACTTCTGTGGTATGAAAGTAAGATCATGGACTCAGAATTTAGAATTAGACTGTGCTTCTAACCAAAAGTATACATGTAGAAAGGAAATGGGCTCCCAGTCAGACATTGGGAGGTCACCACACCTCA